TAGATTGATGTGAATGTAAATGTCAAAAGTATATATTACACATTTTTTTTAACATTAGCAATACATGAATCGAATTCCCCCCAAAATCTTTTTTTTTTTTTTTTTTGATTGTGTGTATTTATTACAACATCGAGTGATAATTATTACAAGACATATCGTCAGTTTCTTGTCATTGATCCTGATAAATATGATTTGTTCTTTTATCTATCATTGATTGATTGATCACCATAATCAAACATTTAGAAATAAGATTATCTTCTTTCTTTTCTTCTTTTGTTTTTTTTTGTAATACAAATAAGTTCAACATTCTCTTATTAGAGAGAAAAAATATAATGATCCTAATTTTTTAAATTTTTGTGCTATGTGGTACCATGTTTGATTCATCCCACATAATTGGAATTATGATGATAGCTCATTCCACTTGTAAAAAATGTCAGTTTTTTTTCAATCTCATATTATGTTATAACATTGACAAATTGTTGATAGGGCAATGAATTCACCAGAAATGATGACAAGTGTAATTTTTCATCACGATTTCTAAATTAATATGTTTGACATGTTGTTTGGCCATTCATTATTATTCCATTATCATTGTAAATGATAATTAATAGTGATACAAAATGGATTTGTCAACGGCTGAATCTAATTTCAGAGTTTTTCCCTTTAGATGTTTTTTATTTGTTTTTAATGAATCTACATCTATCTGTTTTTTTTAAATAGGTAATGGACTCCGGATTAATATGGAATTCAGATCTTGTTGAGACATTGGAATTACAAAATTTAATGCTCAATGCAATGATGACCGTAAATTCTGCTGAAGCACGAAAAGAATCACGAGGTGCACATGCACGAGAAGATTATAAAGATCGTATTGATGAATTTGATTATTCGAAACCATTGGATGGTCAAAAACGACGCTCATTTGAAGAACATTGGCGTAAACATACTTTATCGTATGTACAACCTGATGGTACTGTTAAACTTTGGTATCGTCCTGTAATTGATAAAACATTGGATGAACAAGCACAAACAATACCGCCAGCTGTACGATCATATTAGTATAATTATCGTGGAAATAGAAAATTTTGTAGAGAAAAAATTCAATTATTCTTTAATTTTTTTGGTTATTTTTCTTTTGAGCATATCTTATTATTTTTGTGAATAACAATAATCACATTAACAAGATCAACAAATGCGCAAAATAGCCTTGAATATTCTATGAGTACAGTTGAATTTGAGAAAATTGATTTTATCAATATTATCCAAACAGATACAAAATCATCATTTTTTGTAAAATAAAAATCAAAAATTTACATAATTAAAAATTTATTTATTCATTTTGTTTGTCGGTTAGAAATGAGAAATTTTTTAAAAAATAACGTTATAGGATGGAATTTTTATTTTGAAATATAATAATAACGAAATTGTTAATTGAAGGAACATATTTACAATAATGAATTGAAAAATAAATGCATCTGTGAAACGAAGATGGTAATAGTGATCATGATTCTATAGGCATCAATGAATTGTATGATTTAAAATTCGTTTGATGATGATTTTTACTGATTGACTTAGAATGTGAGAATCAAAATCTTTTCGTAAATCCTATCGATGATTATCGAATAATCGAATTATGATAGTTGAAATGAGCGAATTATCAATGAAAGACTTTTTGTAGATTTTGTTGTCTATTTTGTTAATTTTGCTGTGCTTTACGTTTTCTTGCCGCTAACATTTCATAGAATGGATTTCTCGAAACACTAGTCTGTATAGATTTGACCCAGGCATCTTTTTCCACGGCAGTTGCAGCCGATAATCGATATACAGAATGTCGTCCTTCAATGACACGACCTTCGGTATCTGTTTTACATGCTTTGATCACATCACTAATAGGTGAATAAAGTTCAAAACAATGTTGTCGACCTCCACGATCGCCGATTTCACGTATGTCGACATTTTCTAACGGTATAATACCACGTGGTTCTTTATCAGTATCGCATTCGAAATAATAAAGGCACTTATCATTCAATAGGAACCAACGACGTTTCCAACTTTTATAACGGCCACCTTGTTTCCATAACCAACCTTCACGATCTGGATCAAAAAATGTATGCATCAATTCTTGTCCATCATCTTCAGGTATTTTGAATGGCTCATGACGTATGTTTTCATATAAAGATAACAGTAATTCTTTGGGCAGGTCACCACCATTATTAATACCACGATTCATTTGAATGAATTTATCAGCCGTCATTTTTTCTTTTACATTTGGATTATGTAATGATGTGTTGAGCATGATAATCGAAAAACTAAGAACAAAACAAGTGTCTGTATTAGAAAATACACCAGGATTCTGATGACAATAATGTGCAGCAAATTTTTCCATCATTCGATCAATCTTCTGTGCTTCACCCGGTAATCGAAATGACCAAAGAAATTGCCGTAATGCCTGAACAAGTAATGAATCTTTAAAATCATGAAGTTCGATAAAATGATTCAAAACTTTCAGATTAAAATCGATTTTTTCGCCCAGATATGTTCCTATGGCCGTTTTATTTAAACTTTCGCCTTTGTATAAAAATCTTGCAACATCTTCGGGTGTATTGCCCACTAGATTTTGAGCGATAAGAAATTCGATACCTTTTTTTGGATCCATGTTGAATTTTTTCTTTCCAATCGATAATTGTTTTAAACGTTGTTGGTTTCCATTACCATTGTTATTGTTTACATGATCATTAGACGAACCATCGATTATTGAATTTGATTGTGGATATTGCTGAGGCTGTTGTTGCTGTAGTGGATGATGATCAAGACGAGACATTTCCTTCTTAACAAACGAAATTTCCTCTTTTAATTTCTGAATCTCATTCAATAATTTTTGCCGTTTTTGTCTAATTTCATCCAATTTATTTCGTTCTTCCGCCGTTAGATTCGATATATCACAAAGGAACGTACCGTTGTTATTATTATTATTATTATTATTGTTATTATGATTAATACAACCATTACTGCCAATGATGGCACCGACCGCAGTGGTTGATGACGATGGTGACAAACTAATGCCGTTGCCATTATCAGTGGCCGTTGTTGTTGCAGACATTCTCATCATCGATGATGATGATGATGAGGAGGTAGTGTTGTTGCTATTGTTGTTATTGTTGATGTTGTTGTCATGTTGCTGATAATGATTGTGATGAACATTATGATGATGAGAATGATTGTTAAATGACATTCTTTTTGATCTAAGAATCGTCTCTTTAGTAAACAATATAAAGCCACAAGTCAATAAATCAGTTTTCTTTTCGTTATATGATTTTGGGAGTCAAATTCGGAACGATTTATCTATATGAACAACAATTGTTGGTAATAATAGACGATTTGGTTGCCTAGAACCAAGGATTTCAAATATCACTCACTATTATTTACTTTTTTTGTGTATGTTACGATTACACCAATAGGAAAAATCGATCACAGTATAAAGAAGAGATATGATCGGGTATAATATGTACCCGAATGTTTTTATTTAACAAGTCGATTTGGATTTGATCGTTGGTCGTGTGTTGACTCTTAACATTAAAAGAAAAAATGAATCAGATATATTAGTTCAATCAAAACTTTTTTTTAGTCGAAAATCCATGGATGGTGGTTTTCCAAGTTACTAAATTGAAATGGCTGGTTAAAAATTCGATTTTAGCCAATATCGTATTGCTATATATGTGTGTGGTATGAAATATCAGAAATAAATTATTCCCTTGATTTGATCAATATTTTTCGAATAAATTCTTCATTAACATTTATAAATATGACGAATCAAAATCCTGATGATGAGAAATGAAAATTATTTATTTATTTATTTCAAGTTCATTTCATAAAATGACATATAGAGTATATAAAAACACGGTGAAAAGACATATAATATTAAATTAATTTATAGATGTCATATATGCATTTCACTTTGATATTAATATGATGTTTATTATTCACAAATGAGCGGGTAAGAAATTACAACGAACCAAAAAAAAAAGAAGGAAAAGATCCCACTTCTGTCATCCAAATCAAATTGAGTAACTCTAAATCACATATACAAAAAAAAACGATATATCGTGAGCCACCCAGCTTTCGAACATCTGTCGTATTTGGCATATATTTTTTTTACGAACGAATAGCATTCACAGTTTTACTGCTACGACATAATAATCATATATAAATGGATTGATAATTGTTGACCACTAGATGGTGTTAAAAACGTCAAATAATTTTTATTTTGAAAAAATTATTTCAATTAATTGTTTTTTTCTAATTATTATGGATTATTTTTGCGATAGAATGAACATTTCTGTATATCATTAACATTAGCACGTTTGCAAGGATCTTGTTTGAATATCATTGATAGCATTTCAGCTATTTGTTCAAGAATACGAACACCATCGTTAGTCGTAATGAATAATGATTGATGTCTTTGTTTAAAATCTAGCCAACATTGTTCCATATTTCGAATGATATGTCTTGACATACATTTAAATGGATAACGATAGGTAACCAATGAACATACAACAACAGCAAATGACCATAGATCAATTTCTTGTGGATCATAATTGTTATGAAAACATTCGGGTGGTAGATGATTGTTTTGACGACATTTTCGTTCTCGTCTAGAAATTCGATTCATTTGTTGACGACCAATAGTAGGGCTAGGAATCCAAAATGGTATTGCACGACGGAAATTGATTATTTTTATATTGAATCGTTCATCTAAAAGAAGATGTTCCAAACGCAATGACCTGTTGACAATGGCACGATTCTGAAGGAACGCTATACCATTCAATAATTGACTCGACCAAAGAGTAATTTCATCAATATGAATCGATCGTCGTCTTCTTAGATGATAATGTAAAGATTTATTTGGTAACAATTCTACGAACATGAATATTTGAGAAGCGGATGGTGAATGAAAAATTTCGTAGATTTTTATAAATGGTTCGTTATCATTTTTTGATGGAGAACAAATTTGTTTTGCTATTGCGATCCAGGTGGCATCCAAATCAAAATATTTCCGCTCGGTATTAATTCTTTTGACCAGTATTGGATGATGATTTCGATAACGTCCTAGATAAAATGCAGTCCCACGTATTTTTGATGCAAATAATTTATGATAACGATCATAATAGACAGCTGATTGATCATCTCCGTCAACAACCGACAAACTATTTTCATCCATTAATATGCACGCTGATTCCTGTTTTTGATTCCACTCGAGCCAATTCTTTCTAATTTCTTCTACCGACTGCAATGGTATCCATTTAAATCGGACCAAATCCTGACCTGCCGAAGTGTAATCTATGATCATTGACGATGCAGATGTAGGCATCGAAGATATCGGTGTTGAGGGTCGAAGATTTTCTATCGCTTTTTTTACCTTGTTTAATGTTAATTCTAATTTTGTACCTTTTGTCTGAAATTGTTTATGGGTTTCTATTATGACCGATGATGTTTGTTGTTGTCGCTGTTGTTGATTAGATGGTATGACATCCACAATATTCGATTTAATTTGCTGATCTTTTTCTTGAATACCGATAATCGATGGAACATTTTCTTCGGCCAACAATTCCGATCTGGTGACGAATAAATCGGCTTCCGAACTTTCTGATTCCTCTAATTGCATCGGTACCGGGAAATTTTTGCCATCAATCATTGCAGAATAACAAGAAGAATCATTCGAAGGTTGATCAATAGTCGGCCGTACATTTATCAATTTCATTTTATTTTCATTATTAACATCGATGATAGATTTTTCATTTGACATAAATTTGATAACAATGCCTGATTTCTGATCGATCGGTTGTTTGTCTTTAACTTCCAAATATATTGACTGAACTGATTCAACTTTATCTGCTATCATATTCATTACTTTTGATGCTTCGTCATTTTTTTGATTGTTAGTTTTGGATTTCATTTCTTGATCCATTGCTTACGTACATACACAAACACACAAACTCGCTCAAATTCAATAAACAATATTTATATATGTTCTGAAACTGATTTATTTATTCAAATCAAATCACATATAACAATTGTTAGAATTTTCAGTTGCAAAATTAATGTTAATTAAACTCATCATTGATATATTAGTTTAAATAAGAATCGCGAATATTTAATTAAACAACAAAAGTATTTTTCTGTAAATGAATAAAAGATAAAGTATTTTGTGGGATTTTCAAATAAATTTTTTTAGAGTGGTGGTGCAGATGGTGCCAAATTGTTGAGATTAGGATACATTGAATTGGTTGGTTGTTGACTGTTTTGACCGCTTGATGGATATCCATTCTGGGATCCTGGATAAGCTGGTGGTGGATTTTGTGGATGAAATCCAGGCTGTTGAAATCCACCGAATCCCATTTGTGGTGGCTGTCCACCGGCAGATTGTTGTGGTGGTGGCTGTGTTGGATATGCTGATTTTTGCATTTCATGTGTATTCAATCCTGGATACGGTGGTGGTGCTTCCGATGTGTAAATAAATCCAGCTGGTGGCGGTTGATTAAATATATCATTCGGTAATGCAAAGCCACAATTATAGGCAGGCTGATAAACATTTGGTGGCGCCTGATAATATTGTCCGGCCGGATTTGAATAAGCTGGTGGAGGTTGAAAAGCAGTGGATTGCTGATAATTCCTAACAGATTTAGCAGCATTTAACAAAGCTTGTCCATATTCAGTTGCACCACCACTTGTGAATTTCAATTTAAATGTGAATTTAGAATTGTTTCCAGCCTCAGTTGATTTACCCTTAATGTAATTCGCACCAAAAATTGGTTGTTCCAATGTAAGGTCATGCAATGTATAAAAAGGAATCGATAATGATTTCAAACCACTTGACATTGAACGATTAGTGAATATCATTCTGTGTGTGGTCAGGTAAAGTTTGCCAGTTTCCTATAAACAAAAAACATCAATCTTTGAACTCTTGAAAAAAGTTATCTTCAATACTTACATTGTGATTTCGTTCAATAACATGAATGTTAACATTTTCACAGAATAACAATATCAATTCACCATTGAATAGGACGACACCACCTGATTCATGGTGGGCATTATTAAACATAGACATGATTTTTGTTTATAATTTTTATTGTTCACTATACGATACTTTAAAATCGAATGACAATACTGATCGTTTCAGTTGAAACTATTAAAACGCAATAACAATGCAAAAATAACTGGACTTTTCTCGATGATTCCAACAAATGAAATAATACAAACAAAAACGCCATAAATATGTTGACTCATAATGTAATTTGGAAAATTTTACTACACATGCGCGATTTAGGGAAGAAAATATCGATTGTATTGGAATTATTATGTCATATTCATGACACACGTGGGTATTTGTATTTATGATACCAGAATTTAAAATTCTGGATCTTTTGCGAAAAAATGCCTAAAGTTAAGGTAATTAGTAGAAGTGCTGATAATTATCTACGTGAAACCAAAAATGATATCCATAAACGTAAGTGTGTAAAGTGTGTTTAAAGCATAAATTTCATGTTATTTTTAGTGCCTCGCAACTATGATCCATCCTTACATCCATTCGCCGTAAATCGTGAATATCAACGAGCATTGAATTCGGTTAAATTAGATAAAATTTTCGCTAAACCATTTATCGGATCTTTGGATGGTCATTCCGATTCGGTACAAAAATTGGCTAAACATCCTACTAAATTATCCCTACTATTTTCAGCTGCCTGTAATGGTGAAGTTAAAATCTGGAATCTTACCAATTGTCATTGTTTACGAACAATCAAAGCTCATAATAGTATTGTTCGTAATGTTTGCATACCACAACATGGAAAATATTTCTTTTCTGTTGATGATAGTCAAACCATAAAACAGTGGAATCTTTCATGGCTTGATAATGGTGAACAAGTATTTGAAATGGATTCCGAACGGCAATATCAATTGATGCAGGTGACTGATACCCCTATCAATACGATATTGACCAAGAATCCTGTATATTTTATGGATAATCATCGACAAAAACCATATCTAATAACATGTGGACAAGGTGTAGAATTATGGGAAGAGAATCGAACCCAACCATTAAAATCCTGGTCATGGGGTATCGACACAGTTAATTATATTCGTTTTAATCCGATTGAAAATGATATCGCTGTAGCTGCATCAACTGATCGAAGTTTAATTTTATACGATATTCGAAAATCACAACCAGCCCGTAAAGTAGTTATGGCTATGCGTTCGAATGCGATTTGCTGGAATCCAATGGAAGCATTCGTTTTTACTGTTGCAAATGAGGATTATGAGTAAGATTTTGATTTGTTTTGAAAATGCTTCTAAAAAACTTTTTTCATCACTTAGTTTGCATACGTTCGACATGAGAAAACTCAAATTTCCCTTACAAATTCACAAGGATCATATATCAGCTGTTATATCGTTGGATTACTCACCGACTGGTCGCGAATTCGTATCGGCCGGTTATGATAAAACAATACGAATATTTGGTGCACGTGAACGTCGCAGTCGTGAAGTTTATCACACAAAACGAATGCAACGATTAACTGATATTGCATGGTCACTAGATGCTCGTTATATAATTAGTAGTTCAGATGAAATGGACATACGGATATGGAAGGCAAATGCATCGGAAAAATTAGGATTCGTATGTATAATGCATTTGAAGTAAAAATAATCTATTTGATAATTTTGCCAATAGAAAGCACCACGTGAGCTTAGCAATTTTCGTTATCAGGATAAATTGAAGGAAAAATTTAGCCAATTCCCAGAAATTCGTCGTATCGCTCGATTTCGTCACGTACCGAAGCATATCTATCATGGCCGAAAAGAAATGCAGGAGATTATTGCTGCTAAAAAACGAAAGTATGTTTCTTTTTAATCTTATCGATTGTATATTAATTGATAATTTTTTTTTCATTTTAGGGAAACAAACCGATTACGGCATAGTAAACCTGGTCAACAGCCAGAACGAGTGCTTGAAGTTAAAAAACAAATTGTTCGTGTTGAACATTAGACGATTTATGTTGAAAATATTTTGTAATAAAAATTTTTATTTTAAAAAAATTCATATTTCTAATCGATGAATCAATCAATCGATTGTCCACAATCGATATTTATTTCAATATAATTTACTTGTTGCTTTGTCTTTGTTGCTAAATATCTTTGGAAATTTTTTCATTATTCAAGTTGATTTCATTAAAATCTATTTCCTGGGTATTTTTAAAATAAAAATGATATTGAAAAATATTCATTGGAAATTTATCACAAATATATCCAATGTTTTCAATGAAAAACTTATTTATACAAAATATTTTCCATATGCAATTCGTTCGTATGCGAAAAAAATTCCAAATGGTTTCAGACCATTTCGCGTCACCGATAATGGTGAGATGATAACATTATAGAAATGCTAATAGATTCATCATTCTGATAAATGCAATTTTTTGTACTGTCATGATCATATAGACACGTTTTGTCGAACAACAAAATTCAATCGATCAAATCGATTAATTGTATTAAGTGAAGAATTGTATGAAGCTCGTACTAATAATGAACCAATTGTGGCATTAGAATCGACAATTATAACTCATGGAATGCCATATCCACATAATTTACAGTAAGTTGAATTTCTATTTTTTTATGTTGTCAATTTCTATTTTTTATATTGTGAATTTTATTTCTCTCCACTTGTTCGAAGAACTGCAAAAAATGTGGAATCAATAATCAGAAATAATGGAGCTATACCAGCTACAATCGGTGTTATTGATGGTATCATTTTCATTGGATTACAATCAGAACAATTAGAATGGCTAGCTAAAAGAGGTTTGTTTATTTGTTGAAAAAAAACAAGTATAATGTTTTGTCGTTGTTATGAATTATTTATCTTGTAAAATTAAAAAAACTTCAAAAAGATGAGTTTCATTAAATTTTATCAAAACTAATTATCATCATTGTGTATAATCAAAATTTGACTACCCAATAAGTATACACACTAACACAAATAATAAAAACATCAGCAACAAAAAAAAAGACAATGAATTAGCAAATTCTTTAGAATTTGAAAGAGTGAGTGAAAGAATGAAAAAATGATTGATTCGATCAATTCAATCGAAGATATCGATCGACTTTTTCATTCTGAAAAACATTAGCCTAGATTTTCTATTTTCTATTTTGTTTACTTTGTTCAACATGTCCATATAGTTGGATCATCATCATCATCATCAATAATGTTCATAAAGATATAATGAATACAGTCAATGTATACAGACACACAAATCTCATGTAATCAAAAAAAATATAGAATGTTTTATTTCTAAAACAAACAAACTAACAAACAAAAAAAATAAATAGAAAACTTGTTATAAATGGTGGCCAGGTTAGTTTCGTTTGTTAATATGCTTTTAACTGGACACAACAACAACATCAGAAAAATGTTTATTTTAACACTATTTTCAAAAAAAAGAATTGTGAAGAATGAATTCCATTCAATGAAAAAAATCTAAAATTTTTTTTAAAACTTTGTTTGTTCATCATATTATAAAATCGAAAAAAAGCAAAAAAGAATATAATTGAAGCTTGATAAAGATTATTTATTTTTTCAAAAAAAAACATTTTCTTCTTCTTTTTCATTATCAGGATTGATGTTATTCTCACTCACTTTACTTTACTTTAATTTACTTTTCAACAACGATCATCATTGTCAAAATGTTTATAATAGTTTCCTATGTATTAAGAATAAAGAAAATGAAAATAAAAAATGAAATAAATTTCACCATCAATGGCCATCTCATTATTATGATGATGATGATGATGATGATGATCTTCTTATAACATCAATCATCACTATCATTGTATCCGTTGAATGGAAGATTGCACTTGCACTTTTCTCACAAACACATATATTTTTATTATATGATTTTTATAGGTCTAAAAGCTTAAAATATTAATAAAAATTGTAGTTTTTTTTTCACACACAGTAATTGATCATTACAATTCCATTAGGATTTCGCTGTTGTTTTTTTTTGTTGTAGAAAATTCTCCGTTCTATATGACAATTTATAAGGATCAAATTTACAGAATTTCATTTTTGAAAAAAAATTGCAATCATCCAATCAAAATTGTTGAACTTGTATTGTATTGTCAATGGATTTTCGTCATCATTATTGGAAATATGAATCTAATTAGACTAATATTCAACGTATGATTCTGGTGATAGTGATAATAAATATTCATTTTTTATTTATTGCTTCAATTACACAATATATCATGATTTCATTGTTTTTCTTAATTGCTTATTAGTATAGCAAATGATTTTCTTCTTCTTCTTTAATGTTCGTCATTAAATAATCAATTTAATGTTGAGATTAACTTTACAGTTAAGACGTGTTTGAGTGTGTATGTCAATAATTGATATTAGTGATGATGATGATGGTAATGGTAATGTAGCTAGAATTTTTATTCTATTTCATTTTTTAAATATTTGTTTTTTTTTGTGGATAAAACTAATTGACAAGTTTTTATGATTGTTAATCATTATTTGGACTGTCAAAAAAAAACTTTTTTTTTCAATATATTTTTATACAGCTGTCAGTTTAATTCGGCTAAATCGATAGATTATTTGCGGTTGTGTGGTTGATGCCTCGCTAACCATTTTCAATGATCGGACCAAATATATCGATAATCAATCTTTTACATATAGCTAAAATGTTTCATTTTCTCCTTTCCATTTATCAGTCAGCTTGTGTTGTTTTTTTTCTAATTCTTTCCCATATTTGGATTTACCATAAAGCTGTTTGGTTGTTTATCCATTCGTTTAGTTTGGTCCACAAGAATTACACAGTTTGTTTATTTTGATAAATATTAATCAAAAAACAAGCCGTAAAAAATTGATGACTCAAATCTTCTACTTCTTTGGCTTTTATACTGTTATTTTGTAGATGTTTTCAAACAAACAAACAAAAATTTGCCGATGATTATGATGTTTGGAAAGGAATTAAAGTTTTACTATCGTTTGACATGGACAAGTGAACAAAGTTTATTGTTTTGTCATTGAACCTATTCAAAAAAAACAACTAAAAATTTAACTTTCGGCAAAAGAAAAAATGATAAAACAAAAGACATTAATTTTCCTCTTTTTATTCGTTATTCCGATTGATCACTGTTGAAGAATTTGTTTTTTTTCAGACTTTTATTCACAAAAGATAATCGAAATAGATGTCTTCATTATTATCTTCTTTTTTGTTTCATATTTTTTCCCCGTATTTGATGTGAATTTAATATTCTGATTCAAATCATTTATGATGATGATGATATTTTTTCGCATGAAATGGTTTGAAGTCATATCAGCATCTTTTTTATTCTACTTTTACTTTCTGGATCATTGAATATGATGATGATGATGATGATAATAATCCAAACAAAAATCTATAATTATAATGATATGACATTGATGATAATCCAATAATAATGGTCGTTATTTGATGTTTATTTTTTTATCCTTGAATCCAGAAAAAAATTAAATTCATCACATACCAATCATATAATTGATGAAGTGTTGTTTTTCAAGACTAAACATTTGAAAAAAATTATGATTGACATTTATTATTATTATTATTTTGAATTGGAACAAACATTCAATCAATACTACAATACAATGTCAGTTCAATAAATAAATGGATGAATGAATACAGTATTTTATTTCCTTCTTTCATATAATAATAATCGTATTTTTTTACAGCTTTTGGATATAAAATATTAATTTTCATAACTTTATGACCGGCAGGCCGGCCGGTTTGTTGGCATTCAGTCATCAATATAATATCATTTCTGTAACCATGGATGTTTTTTTTTCTTGTTTTCTAATATTAAAACACAATATCACTATTCTATAATAGATAATAGATAAAATTTCGTATCATCTCCATCATCTTCATTGTTTGAATGATAGTAATACGATATGATCTTTATGGGATATGGCGTTTATTTATTTATTTATTTTTTGCTTTCTATTTTTTGTTCGTTATCGTTGTCGTTTTTGGTCATGAATTTTTCAATTCTGAAATATTACTATTGCTAACAAATGTCAAAACCGATCATCTGGATTGTGTGTGTTTGTCTGTGAAAGTCTGTTTGTGATTGTATTTATTGATTGTTGGCCAAATGTTTGCCTGCTGTTGTTGTTGTTCATAACTGAATAATATTGATTTTATCAAATTTTTTTGATTTGATTTGAAAAAAATCTACTGAGATGACATCGGTACACATAAATGATAGACAATATTGGATATGATTGGAATGATGAACCAAAATTTTTATATTTGAAAATTCCTAGCTCCTTGTAAGAAACTTTTTATTTTTTCTTCATCATTTAAAAAAATGTCATTTATGATTATATTTATTTATTTATGAGAGAAATAACAACAAAAATCATCATTGAAAATCAAATTAAATGAAAATTGATTGTTTTGTTTGACATGAATTCATTTCAATAAGATATAAAATTCTAAGAAAAAAACTTAATCTATGTTATAATACAAATTTTGATTACAGGATATGAAGGACCAAAATTACAGACTGATCGATTGAGTAAAATTTCTCAAGGCGATCTGGCAGCTATTTGTCAAATGAAAGGAAGTGGTGGAACAACAGTATCATCTACAGCATATTTAGCTAATATGGTTGGTATACGTGTGTTTGTTACCGGTGGTATTGGTGGTGTGCATCGTGGTGCTGAAATTTCCATGGATATCAGTACTGATCTAATGGAATTATCACGTACACCAATTTGTGTCGTATCGGCCGGTATAAAATCAATATTAGATGTGGAAAAATCTCTTGAAGTTCTTGAAACAAATGGTGTATGTGTAGCTGTTTTTGATGGTGATCAAACCGATGATACTAATCGTGTAGAATTTCCAGCATTCTATACACCAAATAGTGGCCATTTTGTTAACTATAATTTTTTGACCGCCAAATCAATTGCTGAATTAATCGATACACGTGATGAAATTGGTCTTAAAATGGCGATACTATTGGCCGTACCTAATCGAACAGCCAAAGCTAATGAATATCAACGACAATTTGATGATGCATTAAAACAGGCTTTGGAAAAAGCACGGTATGGATAAAATTTCAATGCTATTTCGAAAAATAATTCAATTAAATTCAATGAAAATAAAAATAGACAAGAAAAAATCAAAGGAAAAATGGTGACACCATTTCTATTATCAAAAATGTCGCAATTGACCAATGAACAAACATTAAAATTGAATCAAAATCTAATTGAAAATAATGCCAATGTTGGTGCGGCCATTGCTATCGAATATAGCAAACTGATGGCCTGTCGACAACAAACATTGTCTTTTTCATCATCAAATGTCAATGACCAAAGCAAAGATAATAAGAACGATTATTATCACATTAGTAGATTCGATTCGAAAAAACCGCCCATTGTTATCGGTGGTTCGGTTTATGATATAATTACCAAAATAAATTCATCAAATATTCAGGTAGGTTATAATTGGTTTTTATTATTACAAATTTTAAAAATTTTTGAAAAAAATCAATTTTTTATTCTGTTCATATAATTTGTTATATTTTTTAAGATAAACAATGTAATTAGCTTTAAAAATATTCATTAAAATCAAAATCATTAACATTACCATTAACATTCTATTGTAACATAAAATATAATGGATTTTTGACCTTAAATATTTCAGGAATTTTTCCCACATTTTTTTCATCAGTCTAATGATTCTTAAATTTGTTTGTTTGTTTGTTTCATTAATTTGTTTGTTCCATAATAATTATTATCATTGAAATTACTTTTCTCTTTCTATCTCTTTGCCGGTTTCTTTTCTTCGAATGATAACCACTGAATAGTGAAAATGTCATTATTTTCTATGCTTATCGTTACATTAGGTAATAATAGTTTTTTTTCGCGTCCATTTCATATTTGTTTTACGATGATTATGTTGATGATGTTGATGATTTCCTTCCTTATGATTGTTCCATGTTACATATGTCGAAACATGTTTTTGTTGCTGTTGTTGTTTTTAATGTTCGAGAATTGCATCATTTTCAACTAACTTTCTAATCATCATCATCATCAAGATCTTAATGATAAAAATAATGATAATGGTGATGATGATGATTGATAAAACAAATTTCATTCTGCTTTTCTCTTGCTTTTCTTGTTTTTCCTGAAACATTTGGTCTTTTTTCCTAGTTTTTTTTTGGCTTGGATAAACTTTGAAAAAACTGTTTTTTTTTACTTAGAATCAATACTTGGTGATTTTTGATTTGAGAATTTGTTATAATTTTGTATGCTTGTGTTTAGTCAAAAAAAAAGAAAAAAAAGTCATCAAATCTTATTCATAAAATGAATATATTTACGATTCGTGCACATAAATAAAAAAAACATGCAATTTTTATCCATTCATTCATGCATGGTTTTCTATGCGCACCAGTTTGTTTTCGCTTGTTTGATTTTTCTCTTCATCTTTTTTACTCTTCAAGTTTTTCCGATTTAATCTAGTTGTTAATATTTTCGTAAAAATTTTTCTTTTTTTCCCAAACCAAAATTGAATTGATGATGCAGCTTTGGTTGTTGTTTTCTGGTTTTGGTTTTTTTTTCATTTTGATTTTTTTTGTGGGTTGAATTTGTGGGTTGGAATTTCGTTTCATTTTTTTCGTTGTTGTCATTCCTGGTAGTTGTATTAGATTCACTGATTTGTTATTATTTTAATTTTACTAAAATTGTTCGTCAGTTGCATGAATGTTGCAACAACAACTACTGACAACATTAGTAATGTTAATATTCATTAAATCAGACTGGAATTTGAACTGTTTGCGGTTGAGATTGTCAATTTTGTATATTTTGGATCCTATGGTAACCGGATATTAATTGGAAGATTCAGTCTGTTTTTTCAGCGGCAATGCAAAAAAAAAATGCAATGCAGTGAAGCTTACTTTTTTCATTTAATGTTTGAATTTAAAATGGAAAAAAATTTCATTTTCGTTCGTTGTTAATGATTATTTCATTGTAATTATGATCGATTCCTATTTTTTTTTTGGTTCATTTTAATTCTTTTGTTCATCATTGATTAGGGAATTTTGATTCGGATTAAAACAATTCGTTGCCGTAGCATCAGTATCGAAAGCAAGTAAAATAAGACAAAAATTTGAAACAAAAGAGACAATAACCTACGCTAATGTCTTTATAATTGCAGAGCAAAATAAAGCCTTATTATTATTATTTTGGAATTTGGCTTTTTTCCTGTATCCAAAAACACACACAGCACACATTCATTGTATCGTGTTGTCATCAGCATTATAAGATGACAAAAAAAAATTTATTAATGAGAATGAGCGAAACATTTAGCTAAAATTAATTGTTTTTCATTTTTTTTCAAAATGAATCCAAAATGATGAAAAAAACAATAACATCATTCTATTTATTCTATGATATTACTTTTGTTGTTGTTGCTCGATATGCTAAAACAAGTTTGTCAATAGCAATATATTTTATTTAATGATTAATTTTACCAACATGAACTTGATTATCATTTTATTTATTCAATTTGATTAGAAATTAACATGGAAAGATTCGATGTTTGTTTGTTTGTTTTTTTTACCTCAATCCAGAATTATTAATAATATTCTGAAAGATACATTTAATTAATTTTTTTTCTCTAGAACAAATTAATAATTCATTAATGTTTTGGGTTTTGTTCTTGTTAATTTCAATCAATCAATCGATTGATTGATTCTTTTTGTTTACCAAAATAGCGAAAAATCAACATATTTTTTTTGCTTTTAAAATACTTTTTTAAATTGATAATTTATTAAAAGGAAAAAATTTGAAAAATATAACACATTATATATATTTTTAAATGAATTATTTTACAATTATTTTAAATGTTTTTCATTTTATAACATCACGTGATTGTGTACATCATTATTTTATTGGTGATTATAACAAAATTGATAAATTAAGTCAATCATTATTAGTAACAGATTCACATAATACAAATCTTTTCTTTATCCAGATCAAAACAATTAAAATTTAAAATAATGAAAAATGCCGAAGCAAAAAAAAAAACAAATGAAAATAGAAACAATTGAAAATAAAATTAAAATTGAAGAAAAAAACATCAAATTGACCAAATTGAATGAATTGAGGAAAAAAAGTTATATAATGCCTATGGAAATGAATGTGATTTTTTTGAAATAATGATGAATTTAAAATGATTAATTAATGTGAAGAAAAGTGAATTGCATAATAATTTTGTTTTGTTTTGTTTTGTCTTATTTTTATTCTATGCACACAATGTATATCACATCTCTTTTTTCCAAATAAAAAAAGGAATGAAACAATGAAAATTGTTTTTTTTTCGTTGTTGTTGTCACATATGTAAACTTTTCACTTAAATATCATAATGATTAATTGATGAACCATATATACTTATTTATGACATTCAATCGATGATGAAAATGATGGTTCCTTGTTTTTATATATTCTTGATGATTTTTTCAATCGGTAATTGTTTTGCGTTTTGTTTTTATTTGTAGATGATGATGAACAAACAAAATATTTATATAAGATTTTATTTTTGAGGAAAGCAGAAAAAGCACTTGAATTAATAATAAGATAGTCTATTTATTTGTGTTTGTATAAGTGTGTCTCTGTGTATGTGTGTATATTTTGTATGAGTGTTTTGATTCATTGTTTACGCGGTTGTTATATCACTTAATTTAGGCTAAAAGAAATCCAAACACACTTATAAACACAAACACACACATACACACGTATAAACATCTTGAATAAACACAAAAATTAATGCGTTTTTTGGTTTTGTTGATGATTGATTTGAATTTCCGGTTGGCTAAATTTTCTGTTCTTGGTTAGATAAGAATGTCTTTTCATTTATTTCAACATAGTTTTTTTTGTTTTGTTTGATTTGTTGTTTAATAAGTTTGCGTAAATGTATATTTGTGTTGTTTTTTTACTATATTTATTCATTATTTTTTTTTATTATGGCAACAACAGATAATCAATCATACAATACTATGTTTTTTAGCAAATGATTGACATGCGGCCAGATTGGCTGCAGAATAGCTTAATATTGTACGTGAACCGGTCAATGTATTGATTAGATTTGTAGCTGCTGTTGCATTTGTTGGATTTATATAGCCACTTGCAGCACTAAGACGACAATGACATCTTTCCTGTGTTGAATTACCACGAAAAATCATTGGATGTTGATTTGTAGCAGCTGTTGTTGTTGATGATGGATTGAGCAACATTGTTGTTGTGCCTATTGCCGTTTGATCCTGTTGTTGTTGCATTGATGGCCTTGGTAAATAGGCTTCAATATCTTGAAAGGGTAACATAGGAATATCACTACTAGTTTCACCTTTAATCACTTTAATTTTTTCAATCATTTCTTTGATTTCTGAGCGTAATAAAAATAGGAAGCACAACTTAACAAATGTAATCACACAGAAACCAAGTACTAATAATAAATCAGTTGAATTCTGTAACCATAGATAAATATGCTCATAACAACCATTACTAAATACATGTTCATTCATTTTCGTAATACATTCATTATGTGGTGGACCAAACGTAGGCTCTTCAGGATGACAACAACTTAATGGTAAAACTAGATGCTGGGATTCTGGTAATGGAAGATAACGTAAGGCCCATGTCGATACATTATAATCGGTTGGACCATCAACACCACAGCAATTCCAATTGACTTGGATATCATCCCAGACATTCTGTATGGATAATTATTGATTATAATTTTAATAAGAACCCAGAAGAAACACAAATCAATTATTACTAAAAATTGGTCAATATTTACCCGTATTTCAATATTGGTATCATATTCATTAAAAATTTGATTTTTGAGGTCACTTTTAAGATTCATGGTTATATTTTTATATCGTAAAGCCCATGCTACACCAACAATCGCATCACCAAATACTAATATTGACATTGTTACTAGATATAAATGTAGATAACTTTCATTGAGCTTAAGTGCACCAAGACATCCGATCGCCTATTTAAAATCAAATGGAAAATAATTGGATTAGAATGATCATATGATGATGATTTAATATGACCACAATTGTTTACCTGTACTAGGCCGCCTTGTATAATGATGGCTAGATAGGCATATATAAATGATGGATGATAAAGGCGAATATTGGGAAAAAGGCTTAAACGTGAATCGGTTATAACCGTAATGAAGGCAACTACATAAATGAATGTTCCGATGAATAATGCTGCATTACAGGAATATATCCAGATACGATAATACTGCATGGCCTTGCCTATTGCACGGAGAAACATGTGTTCATGTTTCTCGCCAATGGCCGCTCTACGACCAAAATGGTAACGATGTAACGATGAACGTTGTGGATACGTTACGTATGGATTCGTTATGAACATTCAAACGGTTTTGTTTTTATTTTGAAACAAATATATTGCTGTTGTATTATTCTAACCAGGTGAATCGAAATTAATTGCTTTCACTACAAAATGATCAATGGTTGATGATGAAAAATTTCACAAACGAAATTCTGATTAAATAATAATGATTTACTTTTCCGCTTTTTTGTTTTGTTGTTTGGCGTCTTTGTTTTTTTTTGGCACCACGAAATTCTCATGAAAAGAAAATTGATTGATTTTTTTCTTAATATTTAACGATCGATCTTTCAATGTGAATGATTTGTTGTCAAATTTCTATATTTGAAGATTTCGGTTAAAATTATAAAAAATGAGAAAACAAAAAAAAAAAAATTAATTCACGAATCATATTAATGAATTGAAAAAAAAAGAATAGAAATGATGATTGATGTATTCAACAATAGCAATTGATTATAATTTTTATATTTCAAAAATAAAAAAAATCTATATATACAACGTATGTTTTTGTTACATAATGCACTAACCGGTACAATTATTATTTAATCGTTTTGGAAAAATTTTGTCAGAATTTTTTTTCTGGTTTTCAGTGAATTCTCTTGCGTAAGAGCAAATTCTCTACGGACAATTATTGCTATTTTATTTTTTCAGTACAGTTTCATCTTTCTCTTTCTGTCTCTTTCGCAATCTATTTCTCTAATTCAATTAAATCCTTAAATTCAATGAATGTTTTTGTTTCATTAAGTGTTTGAGTTTGAAATAATTAGTGATAAACTATAATTATTTTACAATCATAATTGATTACAATTATAGAATTTTGTTTGAAACAAAAATGGTGATTAACTTTTTTTTCATTTTATTTAATATAACCAATAATCAATTATCATTGACCGAAATTATCGTCATCATCATCATAAGATACACCCCAAACCCAAAAAAATGAAAAACAAAAACAAAAAACAATCAAATGTTCATTGAATTTTTTCGTGCACAGGCATAATTTTCATCATAAAATTGATTTAACATTTCGATCGAATAATGTCATTTTAGAATTTTTTTCACCTGTTTCTTTTCAAAAAACAGTTTTATATTTTTTTTGGTTCAAAAAATGTACACACTTATCATTCCATAATATAATAGATTGGTTTGACTTTTTAACATTATTTCAAATTTCAGAATGAACTGTATTCAATCGTCAAAATTACCACATACCACCTGGCCGCTCTATTTGGCAAATGTCAAAAAGGAAAAAATCGGAATTGATTTTTTTTAACTTCCTTGTTCTTTTGTCATTTTAGTTTTCAAAAAAATTTTCTGCAGGCTGTATTTTTTTGCCTAAACTAAATTCTGATTGAAAAGACAACAAAATTCCAATTTCAATTAAACAAACTGAGTGTATGTCTCTGTGTATGTGAGGAAAATGATATAGAATAAAATGAATTATCATCATCATGTTCATTATTATATTCTATGATGATTATGTTTATGCCAGATGATTCCATTGTGTTTGTTTCGGTAAAATTATCATTATTATTTGAAAAGAATTGGTTCATGAATTTTAGCTTTGCATTTTAGCTAATTTCTAGTTTCTTTTATTCAACAAAAAAAACCAAGCGATTCATTGCAAATCATTTTAATTACATTCTTTTTGTTGTTGTTGTTGTCTATGTATAGAATTGTGAGCAAAAAACGCAACGCAACCAAATGGAATGAGAATTTCATTTTTTGTAAATCATTTCATTTTTTTTTTGTTCTATATGAATTTTTTACATATTATTCGTCGGATTCGTTGCTCAATAATCTTTGTCACTCATTTTTTTTTAATTTTGACATTTTCTTTTTTTTCATTGAACTATCCGGTGATGATAATAATTATGAAGATCTTTAGATCAGAATTTTTATTGATTTAAGATATATTTTTGGTCTGTTAATGACGACAACGACAAATAATAATAAGCTTTTGATTTCATGTTAACTATAATCTATTTTCCTTCTTTCTTGTTCAGCATTTTTATTTTTCATATTTCGACATTTTCATGGTTTTTTTAAATTCCCATTAAATTAGGCTTAGATTTGAAAATTTGAGAACATAGAAATGAAATGGTGAAAAAATGAAAACAAATGTCAAAGTTTCTTTTGAATTCTGTATCTGAATGAGTGAGGAAAAAAAATCCAATTTTTTCACTTCAACTTTATGAATTTTGAAAACTTTGTATTTTTTTATATTCTGGCCTTTATTTTAGCAAGAAAAAAAACGAAATAGCGAAACATTTTTAGATTATCATCGTGGCAAAACAAAATGAAAATGATGATTATTGACGTTGATAATCAAATCGATTCAAACAGACTCAAATGAAAGATATGAATCTTTTATTCGGTTTTTTTTTTTTGGTGATGAACTTATGACAAGACAAATAAAAATCCTTGCACACTTATTCTCATTTCCACAATACAATCATGTTCGTTTAACTTTTTTGTTTAACGATTAAATACTTAATTTTTTCCATTATTATATAAAAATTTTATTATTTAAAAAGAAATTCGCGCTTTAAATAGTATTTTTCTCCTTTCTCTTGAAGGAAAGAGAAATTTTGCCATCTTATCAATGATAATATATTAATGACTTGAATTAACGTTTGTCTTTTTTTTCCAGAAAAAAATAAAGTTCAAAAATGTTATTACGAAAAAAAATCTTTGAAATTTTTTCAGTTAGAATGTAACCGTTTTATGATTTATTGAATGAAAATTGTTGGAAAGAAAATCAAAAATAAATTCCTTCCAAGTTTTTTGTTTGTTTGTTGTAATCCTCAATTTCTGAACTGGACTATAAAATTTTGTTGGAAAACACAAAAAGTAATAACAACAACGAAAAAAATCGATCATCATACGCCATTGCCGAAATGATTTTGCCAAAAAGAGTGACAGTAAACAAATCAAAGAGGAAAGAGAAAGAGAGAGGATTCTGATTTTAAATATATAGAACTTTCAACACCGTCATTGTTGATTGTTGATCCAGAATTACGAATTCGAATCACGAATCAGAATCAAATTTTCCCTTTATTTCAAACAAAAACAAAGAAAAAATTCGTCCACACACGTACTGTACAAAATGCAAACACCACAGTTCTTTACATTGACACAAATTTTCAATGAAATGGGATTCAGATTTTTTTGATTTTGATTTCCAAACACCAGATGCTTTTGTTTGATGAATAACTTTTATTACTTGTCCATCTTTGTAAATGGATTTAAATGTAAATGTCAAAAGTTGATTTTTTTTATTCTAAAATATTGAACAGTTTGAAATGGATGTGAATAGATTTATGCATGTGTGTGTAACCGAAACAATGGTGAAAATAAATGTAATCCAAAAGCAAACGCACGTTTTTTTCTCATTTCCACTATTATCTATTGTAAAAAAAGATCCTGACGTCATTTCTATTCTATTAGTTTTATTTATTGGTCAAATTTCTAAGAAAATTTAATCGATATTCTTTTTTGTACCAGAATAATAATTGATTTGAATATGTTATTATATTGACGTATAACCAGAAAATCATTAATTTACATTGATCATGGATATCGATTCCTATTCATTTCTTATATAATTGATAATCATATGTCTGTTTGTCGATTCATAAAAGTTTCAATTCATCTTGACAAAAATTGACTATAATTGCTACCAATATGATTTCATCATTAATAATAATCTATTGTATGATTATTTTCTATTTCTAATTTTTGATTTATCATTTACAAGATTTTTGTTGTTGTTGTTAGCTTGATGAATGAATTAATATTGTTATTATCATATTTTTATTTTTAATAATACATCAGATAATATATACGTTTGTAGCTAATTTTGTCCATGTGTGGGTGGGTGTTTTTTTATATTCTGTATTTTGAATAGTGAACTTGTGAACAAATTAATTTATTCTTCTCTTACTCACACTTGCATACATATCACATAGAAACATACATTGGAATATTAATTTTATCAATTTGTATGAATTTTTCAAACCCTTTTTTGTTTGTTTATTTGTTTCAAGCACAAACACTAAAGAAAAAAGAATTAAATTTAAATTTATTATTATACGTAAACGGTAGTGATAGTTTTTTCTCTTCACTAACAATTTCTTTATAATTTATTGAATGGAAATTCTATGAAGCTGAAAGTAAAAAAAATTGAAAGATAGAAATAAGAAAACAAGCCGGAAAAAATAAACAACACGCGCTAAGTGCAGAACATAGATAGATTCATTTGCATGTATCCTAAACAAATAGTTTCTCATGTTCCAAAAACGTCAAGCAAAAAATAAAAAATAATGCCGAAACTTAATACATAACCTTCAAATATGAAAGTAGAAGAGTTTTTTTTCTTTTTCTACTTTCTTCGGTATAATAACATTGGCAAAAAGTATTATAAAGAACCAATAAAATTTACATTTTCATATAAGCTTCATGTATTTGCTTTCAATGTTTGTCTTAGTATGATGGGAGAATGAAAAAAATTGCTGTATATTATTAATGCAAATTGCCCAGACATACAGAACCTGATGCCGTGTGTGTGTATGTTTCTCGGTGAATATTAAACAAATGAGAAAGTGAGTATGTTTGTGTGGGAAAGTAAGAAACATGTGTGGAAGAACAAAAAAAAACAATGGCATGTATGGAATTTAGATTTAAATTCAGTAATAACAAGAAAAAAAATAAACATCAAATGTATATCGCTCATTGTTGTCATCATCATCATGATCTTAATGGTTCAGTCATTTGAAAAAGAAAGCAAAAAGAAAAAACACTAATTTCAATTTCAGTTTAGTCTTGGAAATTCTGAACTATTTGATGATGATAAAGTTTTATGAGCGAGAAAGAAAAATGAAATGAAATGATTCTCATTCATCAATTTACTATTCACGTTTTGTTTTATCATTGATGTGATTGGGATTAAAGATTAATTTGTTTTCATATCATGAATGTTTCATTTATTTTTCTCTTTCTTTTCCGTAATAATTAATTATTGATTTGATCCATAAAGATTATCGATCAAGAATTTTTTATTTTTGTGCCATACTGGTCTTTTAGTAAAAATACTATAGTGGAAAGA